TGTTACCCAGATGATTTGCCAGGATTTCAAGGTATTTGTGAAGCTCCCTCTTCTCAAGTCATCCCACCCTATTCCAAGATCCGCATGTAAATATTTGTGTGGTAGGGGGTGGGGATTACGAAGCGCCTCGGTTACTCCGGTTACCGATCGTGACATCGGGGGTGAAACTTTGGAAAATCGGGAATTTTGGCTTCTTTACAAATTTAGCTAAATCAATTCAAAATAAAAACAAATTTAGAACTTGAATGAAACTATGATACCTCAAACCAAAAGGGGTTAGCGGGCTACGCCCGCTACCCCCGATTGTTAAAGTATTTAGTTCTTCAACGACCAAACGAGAACTGCTTTTTCAAAATTTTTGATCGGTTTCTTTATCTTTTATCTTTCTTTTATCGGTAAAATTTCAAGGGAGTTTTTGTAGGTTTGACCAGAAGGCCGTCAAAAATTCGAATAAAGATGAAAATTGTAAATTAAATGAAACAATTCTTGATAAAATAATCGTCTATCCAGTCAATCAACTTATTGCTCAATTTTTTTGCTTTTTCTTTTAATAATTTTTGCTTAGCCGCATTTCTACAATTTTCCTAAGTTTCCAGGTAGAAGAGTAAAAATCTGTAAAGATCATGATTTTTAAAACTTGTTTCTTTCAAAACCAAAAAGACGAAGGATCAGGTCAACGTTCCGATATTTTGACGTGATGATTCATCAATTTAGGGCGCGAATGGCTACCTCTTTTCTGTCGACGGTTTCCATTCTTTTTGTGCGGCAAATAGATATTGTTTGACGTTTCTTTTTGGGTGTGTGGCGTTTTGTTGCCTCACCTTCAAATTCACAGTTAAAACCTTACTTGACAGCTTCGCGCCTGGCAACCAAAATGAAAATTCCGGAGCGCTCCGCATTCCCACCGAATGTCAAAAGCGATTTACGTGTAAATCAATTATTCTCATACTTTTAGAGGATTTTTTGAATTTTTGATGCTATTTTAAGCGAATTTGAAGATTCTTTTATGCAACTTACGCTTCCTTCGTGCCAATTTGGGGTTACCAAAATTTTCAAAAGTTCTGCTTCTCTTAAAGCATCATTTCCGAAGCATTTTCGGGGTTTTTTTCAATCCACATTCGAATTTAGCCTAACAATTTACATTGTCTTTCTTTCTTTTAACCGCCATTCTTCGAATTTTCCGTTCCATTCGGCTATTTTACAATTGTGTCCAATCCCAAATTCCCCGAGATTTTGACCAAAGACAGTGGAACGACAAAACCCGGGGAGGCCTTTAGCCCCTTGGTGTCACAGCCTCTCTCGCATCCTTCCCCGGATAACCGGTTTACGATTTCGACTCGGTGACGAGAGGCTGGGTGGAAATCCCAAACTGACAGTGAGGCTCGAATTCTTTGACCGTCTAAATTCTCCATTCTCGCGTATGTACACTGATCGCTTATCTCGGGACAAGACAGGAAACACGCGCCAACAGTCGTGTCCGAACAATTTTACGGCCCAAAAACACATGTTAATTCTGTAGCCTGATTTTAAGCAAAATATAGGCTTTAAAGTGAGCGTATATGATATAGGTTTGTTTAGAACAAATTTTAGAAACTTAGTTCTAGCTTTTGCGCGTTTTTTACGCCAAGCTTTATTTCTTTAATTTCTTCTTATCTCTTTAGCAGGGTTTTAAGTTCTTTGTAGATTTTTTTGCATTGTTTTATTTCATTTGTACCCGTTAAAAGGTATTTTTGCTGATTTTTCGCATTTTTCCAGGCAATACGACCAAATCACCGGTTTTTCGGGATTTTTAATGCAGGTTATAGCTATTTGTCTGGCATTTAACCCATTTTTATTCAAAAAAACTATTCAATGAGTATTACAAAAAAAAAATAGTGATTTTATTAATTTTTACGTGTTCTTTTGTCTATGGTTTCCCCTTAAAAATTGTAATATGCCCTATTGCAGCGCTCAACATGGGTGGGCCCGTTCGGGTCCTCGTGGCCTCTGGACTCCTACTGGCTACTGTTTCCGCCCAACTCCAAGGTAGACTTTTTATTCCTCGATCCGCGATCCTTTTACGTCCTAGAGGAAGTGTCTTACCTTAAAAAGCCTTAAACTATTATGAACTCGTTAACACTGCTCCTTCAGGCCTAGCCAACCACCACCATCCGGCGGCGGGTCCGGATTTTCTGGGAGCCGGCCTGGGAAGTCTCCTCGACGACCACCAATTCTTGACGGCACCAGACGGGAGAAAAGAGGGGCTTATTGACCCTTCACCATCTCTTATCGAGCCTTTGAGACAGCAGGCGAAACGGTGAGGTTTTGGGATACGGTAGATGACCCAGAATTTAGACGAGAAGAGCAGCTTCGCCTGGAGCAGGAGGAGATTTCGAGGGTTCTGTCGGAAGCTGCAGCCCAATCGAGGAGCCATGGCATCTCGCTGTCGGCCTGGGTTGGGTCGATTGTTGGTGGGTATTAAATGAATACAAGCCTAGGATAAAAATGATACATGAATCGCTCTATTAACCCCCAGGAAAAGGTGGTAAAACCAGTTTTCGTGCTACGGTTTTTATCGCAACTTAAAATTTGATGAACCTAGTCACAGAAATTTATTTAATTGTAGTTAAAATAATTATCAACTTATGGATTTTGGGCAATAAAAAAATTATCTTCCAGGTTGCCTCTTGGTCGTTGCTTGCGGCATCGTCCCGGCCTTCCTGCTTCCGGCAAACTCGGGCGAATTTTTGCAAAGTGAAGGTGGGTCGAAACTTACATATTTCCCTATAGTTAATCAGAAAAAACGGGATAATCAATGAATATACAATTTCTAGACGGCCGCAAAAAGCTAAACCTGCTTCTTTCCTTTGCTGTCGGCTCCCTGCTCGGTGACGTCTTCTTACATCTGCTACCAGAGACGTGGTCAACGCATCAAGGTAAGTAGACTTTTAAAGTGATCGTTGTAAGATTTCTAAGGTGGCTAAAACATAATTTACGACCGATCATATCTTATTTTTCAGTGGATCGAGCCAGCGTCGGTCTTTGGGTACTTGCCGGCCTTCTCGTCTGTTTCTTCGTCGAGAAACTGTGCGCCCATACCGAAGAGAGCCAGCATAGGGTAAGCCCGCAAATTCAGCTATTTTTGAACGTTTTTATCTGTAATAAAGACGTATTACAAAAATAATTTTGTTTCAGATGTGTGCGTGGATGAACCTGGCCGCAAACATCGTCGACAACTTCACGCACGGGCTGGCCGTCGGAGGGTCGTTTTTGGTGTCCCCGACGGTAAGTATATAGAATTTTTTCGGCCTAAATTGCTCGATGGCTGGAGGGCGATACCATAGGCTGATTAAAACGTTAAAAGGCATTTATAAAACCCCCAAAATTTTAGTGCGGAGTCGTGACTACCGCAGCTATCTTGCTGCACGAGATTCCGCATGAAGTCTCGGATTTTGCAATTTTGCTGCGAGCCGATTTCGATCGATGGAGTGCGGTGAAAGCTCAGGTTTGTAGCTGGATTTTAAAGGAGCCGGCAAGGCAAATCTAGGGATTTTGTGGATCCATCTAAATATTTGCTATGAAAATCGTTTAGACCCGCGCTATGCAACGCGTCAGCTATTCGATTTTTACTAAACACATCCCAAAAGAGGCCGCTCTGCTTATCGCCGGCGCGGAAAAACCCAGCCAATCCATAGCCAAAAACCTATATCTACGCCTTATAAATATCTTTAGAACTAATTATATAACTAAAGGGCTTGGAAATGGAGTCCGCTGTTCATTTATTTGTGAGTTTCGAAAGGGAACAGCTAAAAACCATCAAAAACGCGCTTCTCGTCCCATTCCCGAACTATTACATCAATTTTCTTCCCTTACCAGCCCATTTAAACCAGAATTTTAGGCCATCACCGCAGTCGCTGGAGTCGCCGGTTCGATTTCGGCACTTCGGCTCCATTCCGACTCTTCACTTGGCGGCTCAGCCGGCTGGGTTCTACCCTTTACGGCCGGCGGTTTTATCAACATTGCCCTGGCGCAGATTCTGCCCGAGCTGATGAACGAGACGTGTCCAAAGTAAGTTAGTGTACTCCCTAAAACCCTAAAAATCGTCCAAAGATTTCCTAATCCGGAAAATACATCAAAAATCATGTCATTTCAGGCAAACCCTAAAACAACTGGCCCTAATCGCCGCCGGCATCTCGACTATGTACCTATTCAACGGGCTACACGTCTGAATTATCAAAGTCTATGAAATCATATCTTAAATGTTATTATTTCCTTGTAATTATACTGCCCAGCCCTGCCTTGTCAGTCCCGAAAAACCGGTCACCCCCGAAGCGTTGCCTTAACTTATCCATAGCATTTACCACATCCCCGTATACTACGAATAATACCACGCATAATTGCCCAGATTTTAGTACAAAAATTGTAGTTGGTAGTGTGTAGCGCGCCCCCGATTCTTACTGTGATATTACTGCTGCCTTCCTGCTTCTTGCTTTCCCCAGATTCGCCATTCAATTTTCAAAATTTTTTTTAGGGAATTATCCGGTGTTATAAAAGGAATAAACGTACTACATAATTATGTTACGAAAGCACATAAAAATTTTAGAAAAACACAAAAATATAAGGAATTTTGTTGTCAGTCGCCAGTGGTACGCTGCGCTACTATGTACGCCGACATCCCGTGGGCCGTCTGCATTTTTTATCACGTCGTGATTCTTTTCTCGAGACAAAGAAATTGATCTCTTTGGACTAACTAATTGCTAAAACGATAAATATATTTATGTTTAATCATTTCGAGTAATGTTAAATTTTGCATAACGAAGCTTAGCTGGCTTCCTGAAGCCTAGAAATCTTACCAAACGAAATTTAGCTAAGCTTTCTTTGATAAATTTATCAATATTAAGTTTAATAAATTTCTATTTGATATATTATTGTTATAATAGTACCTCTTTGGCCTTGTTTTGATGACCACCTTTCTAGAAAGCCCCTTTTCAGGTTTAAACCGCCCGCAAGGCTAGGAAAAGATGGACGGCTTCGAGGGTTTCATGCAGAAACTCGACAATTTGCACTCGTTCCGGCTGCACACCGGCAACATCAACTCGTACGACGAGCTGAAAGCGCAGAGGTTTGTTTCAAAAAAAATCTGCAAATCAGTTTAGAATGAAAAACGAATAACTCAGATGTTTTAAGGTTCAAGGACTCGTCCGAAGAGCTGGAGGCCTGTTTGAATTTGCAGTTTCAGAGCACGCCGTGCCCGAGCGATTTTAAGTAAGTTAAAAGAAAACAAAATGCAGTAAATATTGACGTAATAGACCGATAAATTTCCAGGGAAGACGGCACGCTGCTACTCTGCGATCGTGAGCACATCAACCGCTATGTTCGCGATGATTTGAAGATTACTTTGAAGGTATTTGAATTGTTAAATTTAATTTTTTAGGTAGTACAGCTTTAATCCTCTACAATCCTCAAAATTCAAGATTTTAAGGTATTCCTTTCCTCCTGGGATCCAACAGAAGTCCGCGAATCGTTCGCGTGTCTCGTCGAGCAGCTAAAGACCGACGACATCGAACTGTTGATTTTGGCTTTTCCGGAGCTCGAGCTCGTCGAAGGAGAATCTGAAGAGGCGGAAACGGCGCGTTGGCTGGAGGCGGTTAAGGTACACTTTCATGGATTTTGTGCCCAAAATGCCCGGTTTCCAGCCAATCTGGACAGAGGCCGAGGCGTTGAGCTCGAGCCGAAAAATCTCATCGCTGGGCGTGGGTGACGTTCCGGTTGCGTGGATGCGAGCGCTGTGCGAATGGGCTGATCATCCGCCGACGGTTGACCATTTGAAGCTGGATGGGTGCTGTATGGTCGGTTTTTGGAGTGACAGGGAATTTTTATGAGACCAGAAATGCTAATTTTCCGGCTAAAAGCTGCATGGAAAGCTACACTTTTTACGTTTTATCGAACGTAATGGAAAGGCCGTATTCAGGTACCCCCAGAATTGCAAGCCTACGCCCGGGAGCAAGACATTCAACTCTTGACACACAACGACCCACATCCGGTGTTTCCGGTTGCGGATGTAAGTATTTTGTTTCTTTTGGTTTCCTTTCGTTTTCGGGACGTTTTAGGCATTTTAAAGCCTGTAAACTTCGAAATAATCTGATTTACCAATTCATATAAACAATTAAAGACAGAAAAATGGAAGCAAACGATCAAACGCCAACTTTTCAGCTTTTTAACCGCTTCTGCGACCTAAAGCACTCGACCCCCGTCTGCCACAGCCAATTCCGGACCACGTGGGCGGCTAGGTAAGCTGGAATTCATCGCAAACTACAAGCTACACCTTTCAGATACACGGTCTGGGTGCGACCCCGTTCGATCATGTCGTCCAAGGGATACATCGTGCAGTTCAAGCGGACAGCGTCACTTTAGGATCTTTTTTAGGGTAAGTAAAATCTTATAAATCATTATTTCAAGTTTTTTTCGACTAGAATTTGGCTAATTTCGATGTATAAATTAGATTTATTGGTTTTTCTCGGAAAATTAGAGCTTCTAAACGAAATTTTTTTACTTTTTGGGACAATTTTTGAGGCTAAAGCGAGCGTAAATTTGGTTTTCCTTATTATCGTTCAGTTCTGCCTTTTATATTTAATTTATTTTGATTGATTTAGATTGGCATTACCCCGTTGTCATCGGACGAATACTTGCAAATATCTGCTGAATGTGCCACGTTGCCTTCCCTATATTCTTTAATAACAATATGAAACGCTATCATTCGGTTACCGAGATAAATTATCGATTTTAACGCCGCCAACTCGTGAAATACACATTATTACACTTATGTTTTACAAATATCAATCCATTTGGGTCGGTTCCTGTCGAAAAATCTCTCGTTTGTCGGTATTCTTCTTTTTCAACACGCCGCGGAAATAGAATTACCATTGACGCGCGAGAATAAAATAACCTTAACGGGGGTTTTCCCTGTCGGGGTCCAGTATCGAATCTAATTTGAGGAGCCGCCCGGAAAACAATTTAACGACCGACCGGCCCGGGGGTGAGGGCGGAAATTGGCGCCGAAGGACAAAGCCCCCGGCGGCCTTTTCGAGCACGACACCTTCCCAAATACCCACAAAACTTCCTGGGGCTCAAGAATCATGTTTTCCCTCTATCGGAGTTTCAAAATGAGAATTTGGCAAGCTTTTCCCATGCTTTAAGTCTTAAACACCCAGAATTCGATGAAAATCAAGTGATGAGACCGTTTTCCGACTTAAGAATCGGCTATTTAGAACTTTAAAAAGCGATTTTTCGAAAAAACCACTCCAAAATCTTCGGGTCTGTTTTTTAAAAGCGTAATTTTTGGTAAGTGAGTGCATTTTTTAATCCGCAAAACTGTAGAATTCTACAGAAATCAAATTCAGTTACCTTTTCAGCACTCTAAAAGACGAGTTTTTTCGCGGATACCGTATTCTAGTCAGAAATAATTTGCAAATCCTATTTTGGACCTCAAAAATCAACGAAACCCTTCCGGGGTGATCCCCGCTTTTCGGGCTGGTGCGCCCATAATTGAGTACTTTCCCGCCGTTTTCAATGGCCAGCCCAGCATTTTTTCAGCAGCCAGATTTTTTCAAAAGATTTTTCTCAAGATTTCGAGTTTTTGCGCGTCTGGAGAGCTTGAAAGAAAATAGCAAAAAATCTTACAGCACATATTTGACAAATTTAACCTTTTTTGCGACGTTTAAAGCGGCAATGGCTTGGGGAAGAGCTAGCAATCGTTGTTTTTAACGTAGTTAATGATTATTTGACGTGTTTTCAGCCTCAAAATCTTTTATTAAAGCAGCTATGGGCTAACAAAGATTTAAGGACATCATAACAAAGCAAAGCACCTCCAAAAATTGCTGAAATACGGAAGTAAACCAAGGCGGTTTTCTCCTTGCTCTCCTAAATGAATCGGCGCCTAGGTAAAGTGCGTGAAGCAGAAGGAAAAATAAGGAGGAGGAGGCCCGCTTTAGCCAATGAAAAAGGGGGCTAAAGGGTCGCTAAACATGAGAGAAAACTACGCAATCGTCGGCTCCAGAGGAGGGCACGAGTCTTTAGCCTCCTCCCCTTATATTGAGGGGATAGAGGGCTATTTGCGGGGAACTTGATGCAAAAAGCGTTTTTTTTTATACTCTGGATACGTGGCACTGGGTATCTTCTTTTTATAACTAGTCAAAAGTGTAGCTTATTTTTAGCGCGCCTTTTAGGTAACTTAACATCCATTTAATTCATTGATTTGTTTTGTCTATTTTTTTATTACCATTTATTGATTTGTCCATTTTATTATAAATCCTTCCTTTTGTAACGTATTGATAAAAAATACAAACTACAAAAATTGAGGAGACTTTATCATGATTTTTGGGGTTTTTTGTGAATTTCCTGACTTTCTAAAGTTTTTCCCCGTCCGTGTCCAAAAATGCGTTTTTCACCTTCGAGTTGCTTGTCTAATTCTTAAATTTAGTTCATTAATTTTATATTGTTTTTCTAGGATTTGTCGGGCGTTTCTCTTAAAGTTGCAACCTGCAAAAACGTTTCATGTTTTTTTAGGGTTTTTTTGCGCGTTTCCGACTTCCCAAACTTTTTATGATGGTCTTAGCGCCATAAAAAATAGGCCGCTACTTCCTTAGATTCTCATTAATCTACCAGTCAAAAAAAGCCGCTTCGCGGCTTTTTTTGCCTGGCCCTCCCGGGGGGCAAGGCAATACACGGTGCCTCCCATTCTTTTTAGTATATTTCCCGCTTGGAGCGGATACCTTCCATGATCTACCTATGCACCTCCTCCAAAACCAAAGAACCTTCCACTCCTTCTATTCCCCCTGAAAGAAACCCCCCAACATCCGTAGCTGATCCTAAACAAAAAGAGAAGGGAAGTCTAATGGTTAACGTTAACGTTATTTCCCCTTCTTTGATATTAAAAAACATCTAAGAAACGCGTAATGGCTAGAATACCCCTGAAAGAAAGTTATTTCCCCTTCTTGATATTAAAAAACATCTAAGAAACGCGTAATGGCTAGAATACCCTTGAAAGAAAGTTCATTCCCTTCTTAGCTACTAAAAAACATCTAAGAAACGCGTAATGGCTAGAATACCCTTGAAAGAAAGTTATTTCCCCTTCTTAGCTACTAAAAAAACATCTAAGAAACGCGTAATGGCTAGAATACCCTTGAAAGAAAGTTCATTCCCTTCTTAGCTACTAAAAAAACATCTAAGAAACGCGTAATGGCTAGAATACCCTTGAAAGAAAGTTCATTCCCTTCTTAGCTACTAAAAAAAACATCTAAGAAACGCGTAATGGCTAGAATACCCTTGAAAGAAAGTTATTTCCCTTCTTAGCTACTAAAAAACATCTAAGAAACGCTAATGGCTAGAATACCCTTGAAAGAAAGTTCATTCCCTTCTTAGCTACTAAAAAACATCTAAGAAACGCGTAATGGCTAGAATACCCTTGAAAGAAAGTTATTTCCCCTTCTTAGCTACTAAAAAAACATCTAAGAAACGCGTAATGGCTAGAATACCCTTGAAAGAAAGTTCATTCCCTTCTTAGCTACTAAAAAAACATCTAAGAAAACGCGAATGGCTAGAATACCCTTGAAAGAAAGTTCATTCCCTTCTTAGCTACTAAAAAAACATCTAAGAAACGCGTAATGGCTAGAATACCCTTGAAAGAAAGTTCATTCCCTTCTTAGCTACTAAAAAAACATCTAAGAAACGCGTAATGGCTAGAATACCCTTGAAAGAAAGTTCATTCCCTTCTTAGCTACTAAAAAACATCTAAGAAACGCGTAATGGCTAGAATACCCTTGAAAGAAAGTTCATTCCCTTCTTAGCTACTAAAAAACATCCAAGAAACGCGTAATGGCTAGAATACCCTTGAAAGAAAGTTCATTCCCTTCTTAGCTACTAAAAAAAACATCTAAGAAACGCGTAATGGCTAGAATACCCTTGAAAGAAAGTTATTTCCCTTCTTAGCTACTAAAAACATCTAAGAAACGCGTAATGGCTAGAATACCCTTGAAAGAAAGTTATTTCCTTCTTAGCTACTAAAAAAACATCTAAGAAACGTAATGGCTAGAATACCCTTGAAAGAAAGTTCATTCCCTTCTTAGCTACTAAAAAAACATCTAAGAAACGCGTAATGGCTAGAATACCCTTGAAAGAAAGTTCATTCCCTTCTTAGCTACTAAAAAACATCTAAGAAACGCGTAATGGCTAGAATACCCTTGAAAGAAAGTTCATTCCCTTCTTAGCTACTAAAAACATCTAAGAAACGCGTAATGGCTAGAATACCCTTGAAAGAAAGTTATTTCCCTTCTTAGTACTAAAAAACATCTAAGAAAACGCTAATGGCTAGAATACCCTTGAAAGAAAGTTCATTCCCTTCTTAGCTACTAAAAAAAACATCTAAGAAACGCGTAATGGCTAGAATACCCTTGAAAGAAAGTTCATTCCCTTCTTAGCTACTAAAAAACATCTAAGAAACGCGTAATGGCTAGAATACCCTTGAAAGAAAGTTCATTCCCTTCTTAGCTACTAAAAAAACATCTAAGAAACGCAATGGCTAGAATACCCTTGAATGAAAGTTCATTCCCTTCTTAGCTACTAAAAAAACATCTAAGAAACGCGTAATGGCTAGAATACCCTTGAAAGAAAGTTCATTCCCTTCTTAGCTACTAAAAAAACATCTAAGAAACGCTAATGGCTAGAATACCCTTGAAAGAAAGTTCATTCCCTTCTTAGCTACTAAAAAAACATCTAAGAAAACGCGTAATGGCTAGAATACCCTTGAAAGAAAGTTCATTCCCTTCTTAGCTACTAAAAAAACATCTAAGAAAACGCGTAATGGCTAGAATACCCTTGAAAGAAGGTTCATTCCCTTCTTAGCTACTAAAAAACATCTAAGAAACGCGTAATGGCTAGAATACCCTTGAAAGAAAGTTCATTCCCTTCTTAGCTACTAAAAAAAACATCTAAGAAACGCGTAATGGCTAGAATACCCTTGAAAGAAAGTTATTTCCCCTTCTTAGCTACTAAAAAAACATCTAAGAAACGCGAATGGCTAGAATACCCTTGAAAGAAAGTTATTTCCCTTCTTAGCTACTAAAAAAACATCTAAGAAACGCTAATGGCTAGAATACCCTTGAAAGAAAGTTCATTCCCTTCTTAGCTACTAAAAAACATCTAAGAAACGCGTAATGGCTAGAATACCCTTGAAAGAAAGTTCATTCCCTTCTTAGCTACTAAAAACATCTAAGAAACGCGTAATGGCTAGAATACCCTTGAAAGAAAGTTCATTCCCTTCTTAGCTACTAAAAAAACATCTAAGAAACGCGTAATGGCTAGAATACCCTTGAAAGAAAGTTCATTCCCTTCTTAGCTACTAAAAAAACATCTAAGAAACGCGTAATGGCTAGAATACCCCTTGAAAGAAAGTTCATTCCCTTCTTAGCTACTAAAAAAACATCTAAGAAACGCGTAATGGCTAGAATACCCTTGAAAGAAAGTTCATTCCCTTCTTAGCTACTAAAAAAACATCTAAGAAACGGTAATGGCTAGAATACCCTTGAAAGAAAGTTCATTCCCTTCTTAGCTACTAAAAAACATCTAAGAAACGCGTAATGGCTAGAATACCCTTGAAAGAAAGTTCATTCCCTTCTTAGCTACTAAAAACATCTAAGAAACGCGTAATGGCTAGAATACCCTTGAAAGAAAGTTAT